CTCTTGTTAACAAGAGAATCTATTATATGGCTGAGGATTTCTCCACATTGACCATCTTTTTTCTGTTCACAGAGTCTCTCTAACACTTGACTTCTGCAAAGAATGAAAAGCACATTACTAAGTATTTGTAATATTAATGATTTAGCAGAAGAATTGGTTTTATGCTGTGTAAGCTTTACTGTTGAGCTACCTTCCAGTCCTTTTAAAGTTTTCTTTCTTTCTTTTTGATAGCATCTTAGTAAGTTGCTTGGAGCCTCACTACAGTGCTGAGGCTGGCCTCCCACTTGTGATCCTTCTCCCTCAGACTCCCTAGTGGCTGGGATTAGAGGTGTGCATCACTGCCCAGATCAGCTTTCTAAATAATCCTGCCAAGTTACGATTTTGTTAACTCAGAAGATGCTTACACTTGTAAATACAACTGAGTACTGCTTATGTGAAATGCATGGGAAAAAATTCAGATGGGATTTTGTGATATTTGTCTATACACAGTAAAATATTTTCAAAATGAGTCCCACTTGAAGGTAATTTCATACATTTCTAATAAACTGTGTATGGAAAACAGTCTGTATATAATAAACTACCAGAAAGTATCACTTAAGACATCAAGGCACTGTTTCAGAGGGTGTCTGTACTGGAACATTTGGGTTTTGCGCTCTCCAATTATGCATGTTCAACCTGTATGCACTGAAGTGAACAAATGGAGATAAATCATTCTGTACCTTGGAGTGTATCTTTTCCTTATTTTTATGATTTTTTTAATAAGTTACTCCCAGATTTGTGAGGAACATTGCCTTCTCTTGTGAGTTAAATTACCTTAGATTTCCCCTGGAATTGTAGTGATCATCAATGGCCTGATTTTTCCATTGTTTTCCTAAAATACAGACCCAGAAAAATCATAATGATTCATTTCAAAATTATATAAAAACTGTAAGAGTATAGCAGATCTGTTGTATAATGTCACCATGCCAATACAGTCATCAAAATGTGGGCTTCGAATATTCCAAATCATGGAACAGCACTGATAACTGAATAACAGTTCTCTGATTGACTAAGTGAGAAAAGTATGTCATATGTCACCTTTACCTATAGTGATCAGATTCCAGAAGGTTTCCTGCATCACATCTTTGAAGAGCTTCTTCTGGAAAGGATCCAGTAGAGCCCACTCCTCCAGGGTGAAGTTCACAGCCACATCCTCAAAGGTCACTGGCTCCTGAAATATCCCACAGGTTTTCCCAGGAGGAAAATGAGACACACAGCACTAGAGACCTCATTCACTTGTGAGAATTTCACATCATACTATGTCCTCCCAGAGAGAACAGGAATACTTGCGGTACTGCTAGGTCTCTCCAATTCTCTTTCTACACAGGTCTCAAGCACTTCTCACAACAAAGTCCAACTATGTACAGTGCTTATAACAATTGCTGTCCTGAGACAGCACATTCTTAGGAATGCTTGAGAATATACTTTGAACTTTGTTGGTATCTAGCAATTACTGCCGGGATGAACCTCACCAGCTTAACTGCAAGGAAGGGCTTGGGGTTCCCAAGCAGGTTATCCCAACAAAATGCAGCCTGTTTAAATCCTGCTGGTCCTCTAACTGGAATAGTTTGATATGCTTGTCAGAAGTTGCCTATCTCAGGCTGTGGCTCAGTGGTAGAATGCTTGCCTTGCACACATGAGGCACAGTATTTGAGTCTCAGCACCACCTAAAAATAAATAAATAAAAATATTGTATCCATCTACAGCTAAAAAATATTTTAAAAAAGAGAAGAACTGGGCTGGGGATGTGGCTCAAGCGGTAGCGCACTCGCCTGGCATGCGTGCGGCCTGGGTTCGATCCTCAGCATCACATACAGACAGAGATGTTGTGTCTGCCAAATACTAAAAATAAATATTAAAATTCTCTCTCTCCCTCTCTCTTTAAAAAAAAATAAAAATAAAAATAAAATAAAGGGCTGGGGATGTGGCTCAAGCGGTAGCGCGCTCGCCTCGCATGCTTGCAGCCCGGGTTCGATCCTCAGCACCACATACCAACAAAGATGTTGTGTCTGCCGAGAACTAAAAATAAATATTAAAAATTCTCTCTCTCTATCTCTCTCTCTCCTCTCTCACTCTCTCTTTAAAAAATAAAATAAAATAAAATAAAATAAAATAAAAAAGAGAAGAGGTGGCCTATCTCATCAACGCCCAAAATACACTAAGAGTGATGAATCTCCAATGAACTGGACTATCAGACCAAATTTGAAACCTCTTTTGCAAAACATTAGAGAATTTAATACATACTTTGGGATTGCACTAAGGGCCCACAACCAGAAGCCTGTACCAGGTTCCTGTAAGTCATTAGAATTAAATAGTAAATAAGATTCATTAGGGATAACTCAGTAGATTAATAGGTAATCAATAAAGATTTGATGGAGAATGTCAAAGCACAATAAAACAAGGGGGAAAGTGGTATGTGTTCTTAGAAAGATTTTACTTCACCAAGATGTCACCTATACACTGACCTATAAAATTGCAAAATGTCAATAACAAAAGCTTTTCCTAAGAAAACAAAAAATTGTTCCTGCCTGCTCCATTGGCACATGCATATAATCCCAGCAACTTGTTCTTAGCAAGACCCTGTCTCAAAAATAATAAAGAAAAAAAATTAATAAGTTTTTAAAAATAGGAAGGCATATGGCTGAGTGATTTAGGGCTTCTGGCATCATCCCCCAAACCAAAAATTGAAAAAAATTGAAAAAGGAAAAAACAACAGAGGAAAAAACGTAGCTTATCAAATCCTCTAGGCATATTTAATGTCTAACAATCAAGGAATAATAAAGAGCCAGACACACTGGTGCATGCCTGTAATCCCAGCGATTTGGGAGGCTGAGGCAAGAGGATGGCAAATTCAAAGCCAGCTTCAGCAACTTGGCAAGGCTTTAAGAACTGAGCTGGGGATGTGGCTTAGTGGTTTAATGCCCCTGGGTTCACTCCCTGGCAGCATCATCATCATAGTAATAAAGAAAAGGGAAACAGGGCTCAATAATTGAAAAAAAGAAGAGAGAGAGAGAGAGAGAGAGAGAGAGAGAGAGAGAGAAAAGCCACTTCTGAGAAACCTCAGAATTTGAATTCAGTCAACAAAGACATTCACTGGGCAAGTGATACACTCCTGTAATCCCACTGAGTCAGTAGGCTAAGGCAGAAGGATCACAAGTTCAAGCCCAGCCTTGGCAATGCACCAAGACCCTAACTCTAAACAAAAAATTTAAAAGGGTGGAATCTAACTGTGATAAAGATTCAATCTTCAGTATCACCAAACAAAAAAGCAAGCAAGCAACCAACCAACCAAACAAAAACCCATAGAGTAATTTGCAATTATAACAAGTCACATGAAGCCATCATTATAGGTGTTCCATGACATAATGAAGCAAGGAGAACAAAGAATCATCTAAGATGAAGTCAGAGACTGTTTCACCAGTATATCTCCATATCATGCCTTTTGGAAAGTTCTTTAGAGAGAAGCAAAAAGATGTAGGAACAGGGATCACATAAAGTAAAACAGAAATTAGTTACAAATATGGTGTATATTAATCCCATTGTATCAATAATCCCTTTAAATACAGACAGACTGGTAGAAAACAAGATCCACCCTGTGCTCCACCCTTGTGCACTTTATGAGAAAAAAAACAAACCCAGTTTTAACTATCAAGACATCAGGTCAGGAGTCAAAATGCTTCTTATATATGAGAAATAAATTCAAGAAATCTAGTACTTTGAGAAATCATTATAGAAGTATGTTTAAAGTGCCCTCACTCCAAACACACACAAAATATATGTAAAACAATGTATTTGGTAATCAGATCAATTCAGCCATTCAGCAATGGCTAAGGGATGCGGATATAGTTTAGTTGGTAAAGTGCTTGCCTCACACGTACAAGGTACCTGGGTTCAATCCCCAGCATCACAAACAAACAATGGCATATGAATAGAAAGAAAGAACACCAAAGAAATTTAAGTATTTCAAAACTATGTGAACTTGAACAAACATGCTAATATTACTTATGGGATACAGAAAAAGCAGTGCATAGGGAGAACTTTAGAACAATAAATGTGTATATTAGAAAAGAAGAAAGACCTCAACTCAACAGTGTGATGTATTACACTGGACCTGCAAAACAAGAGCAAGATACTCTTAAGCCACAGAAAAAGAACTTGGAAGAAGTCAAACAATTTCTGGAAAGAAACAATCCAGAAAAACTCACATGAGAAAAGATAAACAATATAAATAAGGCTCTATGTATTCCACAAATTGAAACAATAGAAACTCAAAAACAGGGAGAACCAGGCCCACCTTGTCTTTTGGGCATATTCTAACATTTAAGCATATCAATCATTACAATGTCTTCCGGGTAAGAGGTGCAAAAGTACTACTTCATAATGCACGAGGTCCACAGTGCCAAAATATAAAACTAGATAAGCATTATAAGAAATAACAAAAATAAATTAATAAAGGAAAGGAGTGTAGCTCAGTGAGAGTGCCCTGAGTTTCAATCCCATTACAGATTAGAGGGAGAGAAGACAAACTGCTTCTAAAATACAGTGAAAAGAAACTGAAGAGAGCTTAGCTCAGTGGTATAGTACCTGCCTAGCCTAGAATTTAAGAATGACTAAACATTTAAAAGTCAACTCATGTAATTGATCACTTCAACCAGCTAAACAACAAAATCCTATGGTCATATCAATAGGTACAGAGAAAGCATAAGAAATAATAACAATAGGCATTCAGACTGAGAAGAAACAAATTAAAAATGGCTGTTCACACATGCCACCTCCCACCCTGAAAATCCTTACCATAAACATGCAAATACTCATCATTTTTCTATATATCAAGTATAAAAAAATCAACTTCAAATTTAAAACACTATTTATACAGAACAAGAATTTGGACAAAGAGAGAAACAATTTCACAAAAATAAAGGAACACTAAAAAAAAAAAAAAAAGATCAAGGCCAGAGGAAAGCAATAAAAGCAAGCTATATCTTAGTGGCTCATGAGGCTGAGGCAGGAGGATCTCAAGTTCAAAGCCAACCTCAGCAACTTAGTGAGACCCTGTCTCAAAATAAAAATGAAAAAGGCTGGGGATGCAGCTCAGTGGCGAAGCACCTCACCCCTGGGTTCAATCCCCAATACAAAAAAAGAAGAAGAAGAAGAAGAAGGTTTGTTGCTGGGGATATGGCTCAGTGCTTAAGGACCCTGGGTTCAATGACAGTATCAAAACAAACAAACAACAGCCTGGTAACAAAGAAGGCTGACAGCAGGGTGAACTCTTCTCTAATCTAGGGAAGCAGGCCAGAGACCTCCCACCATGAAAACCCCCTTACCATAATTAAACAGAAACCCCCACCATATACATAACTTATGAGTTCCTATTCTTCTCACAAAGCTTTTTATGCAGGATGTCAGCAAAAACAAAACAACAAAAACAACCACAAAACAAACAAAAACCAAACACTTCTGCATAGCAGCAAAGAGCACTGTGATGGTAGTTTCCTCTTTTTGGAAATTGTAGGTTTGC